GTCTGCAAAGTGGGTGGGGAGTGGTATCAGGGAATCACCAGAACTGAGCAAACAGTGTGAGTCAAGCTGATGGAAGCTCAGATATGGCTGCCAATCAGCTCTGCAAGGTAGAAGGTTTCAGCATAGGAACAGTGACCGCTGCAAGCACCCCTGTCTTGGAAAAGCCATCCCAGTTCCTGCCCGGATGGCAGACAATCCAGTTCCTCCCTGTATGTGTCTGGGTCCTGCAAAGCCACCCAGTGCTGGGACTCTGAGTAAGTTCATGTGCTGGCCCTTAAATGGAACACTTGAGTCTCCAGCAACCTCCTCATCACTCAGCCACAATCCCTGCTGGTTTTTACAGCCCATAGTGGCAGGGACATCTCTTACCAGCTCTGGAACCTTGGTCTGGGGGTTTGTTGTGGGGCTGGGACCCCTTGCTCCTCATGGACAGCCTCTACAGAAATGATCCCCCTCCCGATTAAAAAAAGGCACACATGGATATCAGACCAGCCCATTCTGTGCCTCTGCCCCTCCTACCAATCTCAATGTGTTTTCTTCTTTACTTCTCTAGTTATAGGACTTAATTCAGCCAGTTCTGAATGATGGTTGCTCTGTATTTTAGTTGCAATTTTGATGTGGTTGTGAGAGGCAGCGAGTCCTGGCATTTACCTAGGCCACCAACTTGATTTTCTCTTTCACTTTAATGAGCAAAGATTTCTCTCACATCAATGTCTCTCTCTCTCTTCCTCTCTCTCTCATCACTAAAGACATATTTAAAAAAAGAGAGAAGACCCAAGCTTGGATTAAATGAAATATATAAATAAAGGTTTGGAATAGTTATGTCACAAAGTGAGCTGCCATTACTGCTACCACAACTATTGCTACAATAACCATCACTACAGCTGTTGTAATAAAGAAGGACCAAGAACTGACTTCTGACTGCTATTCCAAGATCCTGGCATAGGGCTGTACGTGTGGGTGCCTTCCTCTCTCCCATCCCCGTGGGACCCCAGAGGAATGCATGCCACCCCCCCTCCTTCTCCGCACACATGCCACCTGCCCATCACACCCTATCCATGAAGGTTTCTTTAAAAAAAAACCAACAAACGCGTTCTTGGCAGTGTCCTCGCGGTCCCGGATCTGCCTCTTGCTTCAACAGTGTTTGGATGGAACAGACCCTGACTCCCCTTCTTCCAGCCTCCGGCCACCCTCCAGCGTCATATCCAGTCACCACCTTCAGAACCACCTCCGGGACCAGCCAACACACCGTTTTTTTGTGTGTTTTTTGGTGTGTTTTTTTCTACCTTAATCCTTACTGCCAAACAACCACGAGCCCCCAGATTCATCAGCATTATTCCACGAGGGTGGAGGCTGCGGTCAGCCGCCTGGCCCCCCTGCCTCTGCAAGGCCCCCGACACCTACCTCTCTCTGGCTTCTATTGCCACCTGGACGCTGTGGCTCTGGGGGGCGGGGGGCGTTTCTTCCGTGAGTTGGTGGCAGAGAAGCGCGAGGGCGCTGGGCGTCTCTTAAAGTTGCAAACCCAGCGCGGCGGGCGCATCCTCTTCCAGGACATGCAGGAGCCCCCCTGAGATGAGTGGGCAGAACTCAGGGCGCCCCGGAAGCCGCCCTGGCCTTGGGGAGGAACCTGGCCCAGGCCCCGTGGACCTGCGTGCCCGGGTTCTGCCCACCCAGCCCCTCAGCTCCTACTTCCTGCAGAACCACTTCCGGGTGAGGAGGTGACGCTCACCAAGAAGATGGGCCACACCTGGCTCCCTCCGCAGGCTGCCGCCCCCAGGCTGGGCTGGGCGAGTGTCTCTTCCAAAGGCTCACCCTCAAGCATGACCAGGAGCCTGTGGAGACCAGAGGCCTTTGAGGGGCCCCTCTGCATCCCCTGGTGTCTGGCTTTTACCTGAGACTTTCCCCCAAACTACTAGCCATGCTTTTAACTACCCTGAAGCCCTCTCCCGTGCATTGGACCAAATGGAACAATAAAGCTTTTTGCAGAAAAGAAAAAAGTTCTTACTGATTTCAAAGAGAGAAACATCCATGGGATCAGCTGCCTCCTGCATGCCCCCTACTGGGGGATCAGGCCGAAACCTGGGCTTGTGCCCTGATCCAGAATAGAACCAGTGACCTCTTGATGCCTGGGATGACACTCATCCAACTGAGCCACACTGGCCAGGGCCACGAAGGTTTCTGAAGTCTGCTGCATGGTGAGCCTCAAGGATTGCACCCACTTTCCCTTTCATCCCCCAAAGTCAGCACCCAGAACAGGGCTCTGCACACAGTATAGAGTCTATACTATAGACCAGTGATGGCGAACCTTTAGAGCTCGGCGTGTCAGCATTTTGGAAAAACCCTAACTTAACTCTGGTGCCGTGTCACATATAGAAATTTTTTGATATTTGCAACCATAGTAAAACAAAGACTTACATTTTTGATATTTATTTTATATATTTAAATGCCATTTAACAAAGAAAAATCAACCAAAAAAATGAGTTCACGTGTCACCTCTGACACGCGTGTCATAGGTTCGCCATCACTGCTATAGCCTGCCAATTGGTGCTGACACTCAGGGCCCCCCAGCCCACCATCTCCTTCCCCCACCTCCTCAGGTTGCGAGCGGCCTGATTTTGGTCTGAAACAAAAAGCAGAGTGCCTCCAAGTACGTGGGCCCCAATAGACTCCTAGGCCCTTTCCTGTTCTGGACAACAGCCCTTTGTGATTCTTGCGGTGGGTTCAGCAATGAGGAAGGAGGCCCTACTATATTTTCTTCTATATCATTTTACAACATAACTTCTTCCCCTCTAGCTTTTCCACTGATGTCTGCTCCCAGTTTATTTCCCTCCAATCCCTGTCTCCTGCCCCCTCTATTTCTTTCTCTATAAGCCAAGTCCTGCTTCAACACACTTTTCAATACCACAATTTGGGAGAGAGGAAAGTATTAAGTATAGAATTATCAAAGGGATTTCTTTTTTCATAAAGAAATGCATCTTTATTATTTTCAAGTACATATGTAGTGCCTCAAACTAATGTCTTATAAAAGGTCACCAAGTAAAGGTCTTGCAGATGTTTCTTTAACAAATACATAAGAATTAATGATAATTAGCCCATACACTCACAACGTCTAAATGGCGATTCCTAAAGTGCTTGAAAAGGATTGTTTTAGGGAGTCTAAATATGCCATCCTTAGCAACATTGTTGTGCTCTTAATTTACTAAGCAATCGCCTTTTGTATTAATTGTACAAAGATAAACTTTTGTCCACAGTCAATAAATCTCAAATTAACCAGGCCCTAATTTATGTGGTTTCCCACTTAGTTTTCCGAGCCCAAGGCAATGACACTTACTTCAAGGCACTTCCCATAAAGTAGAATTCCACTGTAATGAAGTAACAGACCTTGGGAGGTGGCTTATGGGCTTGGCCTAGAGTATGCTTTTTCTGCTTCCTTCCTTTCTGCCTTAGGCCTCCGTTTTCCTTCGGTGTCTCTCACTTGCTTTGTTCATCTAGGTCTCTCTGCAGGACATGCCCAGTGCCTTCTAAACCAGCCTCAAAGAATGGGCAGAGCTGCCTGCAGAGCAGAAACGCTAGGAGGAGAGGGGGGTAGGGAGGGAACAGTATCTCCCGTAGGAACGGGAGACCAACTGCGGGCACCATGAGAAAGTGGCACAATGAACATCAGATGAAGGGCGTTTGCCTGGGAGGAACAGCCTGCTGACTGTGAGGCCAAAGGCAGGTCCCTAGTGCTTTCCCTCTGGCCTGACCGTGTTCATGACCTAAGCTGACTCTGCCTGTCCCTTGAAGACAGGAAGCTCTGGGAACCCCTGCACCCCAATTCCAGCTGTTGGCCAGGGAGCTCCTGGCTTGGTGGTGCCTAGGAATAAAGCAGGTTCATCAGCATGGGCATGAGGGGAGAGGGGCGAGAGGGGCAGGGAATGAACAGGCAGCCATTCCTCTCAGAACAACGTGGAACTTCCGAGTTCCTAGCATTCCAAAGGGCAGGTGTCACCAAGTGCGTGTGATCGAGAGAGCTGGGGCATCGGTGATGTGACGTCTGGGCCTCACGGACCAGACAGACCACCAAGCAAGGTCAGTGGGAACTCTGGGTGTGGGATCTCAGAGATTATGACACTGACCTTGATCTGCCGGCAGGGCAATCTAAAAGGCTGGGACCCAGAGCTGGAGCCCAGGTGTCTACCTGGAGCTTCCAGATGTCCAATGCAGGGCTCTCTTTCTTTCCCCTGCCTCTCCCCCTGCTGGTTGCCACCGCCCCATACCCTGACCTCTCACTGTCTGCGCCTGCCCGGTCTCCTCCAGAGGCTCCTAACTAGCCGGGACTGGGAGACAGGCCAGCTTCCCAAACAACTTCCCTTTCTGGCCTCGACGGGAGGAACCATTTGTGGTTTCTGGGTCAGACAGGGAAGCAGGGGCAGAGTTGGGCAGGAAGAGGAAGAGGGGTGAAGGTGGGACATGGGGTGCAACTGGGGACCTGAGACCGTTTCCTTCCTCCTGGTTAGACATGTTCCTGTCTTTGGAAGTTGGTCTGTTCTAGTGAGGGGTGGGGGCAGAGGGACAGGGAATGGGGCGGCTGGAGTAGCCTTCAGTTCCTCCTAAAAATAGACAACATGGTGGAGTGGGAGGGACCAGGACCCGGGGAGAGTGTCTAATCTGACTGTTCAGAGTTAGGTCTCTGGGGCAATCACCCCAAGCTTATTTGCCCACCCCACCCCCCATTTAGCCTATTAAATGGCCTCATTCTTTCTCCCCAAATCTTCCCCTGAAACCACCCCTCCCCATCACCATCCCTGCAACTCCTCCAGGGCACCCCGTCTTTCCCGTCCTGGTTCTTCTTTCCAGTGTGCTCAGTAGTACGTCTCCTTTTCCACCCAGCCTGTTGGAGAGATTTGGGGGTGGGGGTTGCCAGGTGAGCATCAAAAGAGGGCAGGGGCTGGGGTGGTAGGCCAGGTGGCTGGGAGCCTGGGGCAGGGGCTGAGGTAAGTGACTGTGGACAGGTGACAAGGGAGGGGAGAAAACCCAGTGAGCTGGGCCATAGATGCTTGTACTTCACCCAGTAGAGGGAGGGCATAGAGTGGCTGGAGGTCAAAATACAAATGACTGCAGTGGCTCTTCAGGTAACAAATGAGTTTCCAGAGGGACTGCCACCTAGTGTTGCTGGGCAGAGGTGTGGGCAGAGGGTGGGCAGCTCTTATAATTTTTTTCAGGAGAAGTCAGAAATTTTGATTTTCTGTGAGAGCGCCCAAGTTTTAAATATTGGGCAATTAAAAAAGCACACACCTGCGTGAGAGAGGGCCGGCCAGAGCAAACATTATCCATGGCTTACAGGCCATCCTTCTCACCCTCCAGGAAGTGACCAAAATGCTTGTTGGGGAAAAACACACGTGGCTGAGGCCTGGCAGTCAGGAGGCCTTGGCTGTAGTGTCTGTTGTGCTGTATGACCCTGAACAAACAATTCGTCTCTCTGTATCTGTAAAATGTGGAGGTGGGACAGATGGCTGCCAGGGCCTTTCTAGTTCTGATGTTCTGTGATTCCAGGTGGAAGGTGCAAGGCCTCAGAGACCAACTGAGGGGACCAGAGAAATCTGAGAGAAAGAGGGTACAGAGAACAGACTCAACAGTCAGGGCTCCGGGACCTGGAGCCCCAGCATCTGCGGGCTCTGAGGAAAGGACGGGGCCCTGTCGTTGGAACGGAGTTGGGGTGGGGGTGCCTGGAGGGGTCAGTGGGGGTTGCGTCTTCTGGGGGTTGGGTGGGGGGCACAGGTGCTTACCTCCGGGGTATCGCCTCAGGATGAGCTTCCGGACCTCATCGTAGATGAAGATGAGGAGGCTGTAGGGGACAGCGCAGAACCACCAGGTGACCCTGGAAGCAGCAGAGGAGAGTGTTAGGAACATCAGAGGCTGGTTCCAGCAAGGAGGACTGGAATGGGCCAGAACTTGGATCCTAGAAGGTGCCCTTTTAATTTTTACTTGTTTGTTTGTTAGAGAGGAAGGGGGAGAGGGAGGGAGAGAGACTTGTTGTTCCACTTATTTATGCATTCACTGGTTGACTCTTGTATGTGTCCTGACCTGGGATCGAACCTGCAACCTTGGCATATAGGGCCAGCTGAGCACCCAGCCAGGAAAGAAGCTGCCTTTTTAAAGAAATACTCACTTGAGCGGGTACATGCGGAGGGCCACACCCATGCCTGGGCAGTAGGATAGGAAGGCAGCCAGCGCCGTCTCTTCCAGGAGCCCAAAAATCAAAATCTTGTTCCTGGAAAAACAAGGAAAGGAGGGTTAAGTGGCATCTGAAGGGAGGGCAAGGAGGGAGAGATCCAGGGACCCCTGGTGGTGGAGCGGAGAGAGGCAAGAGGAAATGTGGGGGAAAGGTCATCAGTGCATCTTCCCGTGCTCTCTGCGGGCACCTGTGTGTAAGCCGAGAAGGAGTTTCTTTCATTCTCATGCTTAGTGATGTTACCCCTCATTGCTGTCTAGAGCACACATATTCATCCATTAGATAAATCATTTTTCTGTGTTGGGTGATGTGCTCTGTCCTGGAGATGCCTCAGAAATGGTCATATCACTCCTTCTCATCTCCTCTGCTTAAAACATGACTATGGATATGCAGCTGGGTGACTAAAGCCTTTGTCCCCAAGCTGAGAGGGACATCATGGAGGTCATCCTCCTGGGCTGGGGGTGGGGGAGCTGTGAGCGCCCCCTAGCGGGGAGCTGGGGGCGGCGCTCACTTCATGCCCTGCTGGAAGACCGAGTTGCGGCGGGTCTTGCAGATGATGAGGTCGGCCCACTGCACGATGACGATGCTGACAAAGAAGGCCGTGTGGCAGGTGAACTCCACCACCTTCCGCTGCTCGTAGGTCTGCAGAGGGGCGGGCAGAGAGGCAGCAGCTGAGAAGAACCAGCAGGACCGGCGTGCAGCACCGGTCGGGGCCACTGTTAGACCCTGGGCACCCCGTCCCCTCTGAGCCCCCCGTCCCAGGTGGCCACACTGCCAGGCGTTTAGCCCCTCCTCTCGTACACACGTGTCCGCACGCACACAGCCCCGCTCACCCACTCCTGCCCATAGCTGTCCTCCAGGTCATTGGTGGACCGGTCATCCCAGTCAAGGCGGATCCCCAGCAGCCGTGTCGGCAGGAAACCGTTCTCAGCCAGGATCACGAAGTAGGTGAAGAAGCCGCCCAGTGCCTGGATCATCCCTGTGGGTCGTGGGCAAAACGCAGGGCCAGGGTCAGAGCGGGAAGCCGGACGGGGCCAGCACCGACAGGCCAGAGACGTCTGTCCCCGACCCTGGGGCAAGCGGGCCCCGTCCTGGACTCCCAAAGCCGGGGCAAGAGTTCCCTTGGGCTCCCCCCGAGCCCCGGGCCGGGCCGCACCGATCTGCCCGTAGGCCATGCTGATGAGCCTCTCGTTCACCAGCTTGTCCGTCTGCGGGTTCCGCGGCTGCCGCTTCATGATGTCACTCTCAGCGGCCTCGTAGGCCAGGGAGATGGCGGGGACCTGTGTGGGGTGGAGAGTGGGGGACAGAGGGCGTCGGAGGGGGCCTGGTCAGCTGCCCTTGGTCCTTGTCTCCTTCCACCTGCTGCCCACTGTGCCCACTGTGCCCACGTGGTTGCCTGGCCTGTCCCCCCGCCAGCCCTTGGCCTCACCATGTCGGTGCCCAGGTCGATGCAGAGGATGGTGACGGTGCCCAGCGGCAGGGGGATGTTGACGATGATGAAGAACAGGAAGGGCGTGATCTCGGGGATGTTGCTGGTCAGGGTGTACGCGATGGATTTCTTCAGGCAGCAGACGCCTGGCAGCCTGAGCTGGCTCTGTGGTTGGGTAAAGGCATGGGGAGTCGGTGTACAGGCGTCCCCTGTCCTCACCCTCCTCCACGCCCGTGACGATGGAGGCGAAGTTGTCGTCCAGCAGGATCATGTCCGCTGCCTGCTTAGAGACGTCGGAGCCCGAGATGCCCATGGCGATGCCGATGTCCGCCTTCTTCAGCGCCGGGGAGTCGTTCCCCCCGTCGCCTGTCACCGCCACGATGGCCCCCTGGGAGAAGGGACAGCCACGCTGGAGGGTGCGGGTCCCGCGCCGGCCGCGCCCTGCCCTGGGCCGCCCCGCTCACCTGCCGCTGGCAGCCCTCCACGATGATGAGCTTCTGCTGCGGAGACGTCCGCGCAAAGACGATCTCCGTGTGGTTCCGGAGGATCTCGTCCAGCTGCTCCGACGTCATGTCCTTCAGGTCAGAGCCGTGCACCACACACGCCTTGGCCTCTCTGGAGGGCAGGACACAGGTGCTGTCCCCGCCTCACCCAGCCTCTCCCGACTGCCTGGCCCACTCCCCCCTCCCCCCGCCGGCCCTGGCCCTGTCCAGGGAGCTGTTTCCTTCTCTCTCTCTCTCTCTCTCTCTCTTTCTTTCTCTCTCTCCAAACAGAAAACACACATACACAGAGGAAGTGATGCTAGAATTCTAGATCCTCGCCATGCGTGTAATCATAGTCCAACTTCCTGGGCTTGCACTCATTCCCTCACACATATTTCATTGCTATAGCCCTCTGCAGTGTAGACAGCATCTTAATTTTGTAGTTGAGAAAATGGAGGCTCCGGAAGGTAAGGGACATGTCCAAGGTCACACAGATAAACAGTGACACATCGGGCACACTCAGGGCTGAGGAACCAGAGGAAAGGCCAGTACAGGTCCCAGAGGTGCTATCCCGATTCCCTGGTCTGACTGGGGCGCCCTGTGGGAGAGAATGGGTTGGTTGGGGGCAGGGCATCCTGCAACGGCCTCACCTGGGGTTGACTTGACTGACGGGGATGTTGAGCCGGGCCGCAATGTCCTCCACAGTTTCATTGCCCTCTGATATAATGCCCACGCCTTTGGCAATGGCCTTGGCTGTGATTGGGTGGTCCCCAGTCACCATGATCACCTGGCGGGGAGGAGAAAGGAGGAAAGAGAACAAAGAACGGGACAGCAGCATTAATCCTGGGCCCCCCACCTTGCCAGCCTATTTCTTTCCCAAAGTCAGGAAAAGGCAGATGGTGGGCTCACAGATCCCAGCTGAAACAATGGGAGTGCACGTATATGTGTGTGTGTGTGTGTGTGAGTGTGTGTGTATGTGAGTGTGTGTGTGAGAGTGAGGGTGTGTGGGTGTGTGTGAGTGTGTGAGTGTGTGTGTGTGTGTGTGTATGTGAGTGTGTGTGAGTGTGTGTGTGTGAGTGTGTGAGTGTGTGTGTGTGAGTGTGTGTATGTGTGTGTGTGTGAGTGTGTGTGTGAGTGTGTGTGTGTGAGTGTGTGTGTGAGAGTGAGTGTGTGTGTGTGTGTGTGTGTGAGAGTGTGTGCATTCCCCAGGGCCCATTAGAATGTGCATATGGGGGTAGGTGGGGGAGAGACAATGACAAGTTGTGTTCTGGGGATCAGAGCTCGTTTGTTTAAATGAAGGAAAGCTGCCATGACAGAATGACATGCTAATAAGGATCCCTTGGAAGAGAAACTCCAAGGTTGTTCGGGAGTTTGGAGTTCACAGGCTCTGAGACTGTTGGCGCTAGCAGCACCCTTCACAACTTCCTCCCATTACCTGCGAGGCAGCAAAGGCTGAGAAAGGGCCAGGGTTTGCTCAAGGGCACAGGGAGCCAGGACTAGGATGTGGCTTTCTTAGGGTCCAATATGATCGCTGCAGGGCATCTAACTGGTCAGATCGGAGTAAGCATGACAGGGAGAGAGTCCTCCCTCCCCACTCCCCCTGGTGTTCATTGTGTTTCAGAATGGATGGAGCTGGGTGGGGAGGGGCGGCATCTGAGAGGCTGGCTAAGAGGCTATTCTAAGCACAAGGTAATCAGAGCTGGACTAGGATATAGCATTTGCATGTGTGGGTTTATGGGGCGAATCACATAGGTACTAAGAAGGAGGCCTCTCCAGGCCCCACTCACTGCCTTCTCTTCCACCCCTAACACCCGACTGACACTGCCCCCCAAGGCTACATGTGCCTCCCAGTTGAAAACCAATAGCAGGCCATCAAACCTCAGAGGAAAGGAAGGGGAGGATGGGAGGGAGGAGGTAAGAAGTCAACCAGAGATCTTGTGTGCATGTATGTAAGCATGACCAATGGACACAGACACTAGGGGGGCGAGGGCATGAGCTGGGCAGCGGGAGTGGCTGGGGAGAGGTCAATGGGGGAAAAAGGAGACATATGCAATACTTTCAACAATAAAGAATTTAAATTAAAAGAAAGAAAGAAAGCCCTAGCTGGTTTGGCTCAGTGGATAGAGCATCAGCCTGAAGACTGAAGGGTCCCAGGTTCAATTCCAGTCAAGGGCACATGCTCAGGTTGCAGGCTCGATCCCCAGTAGGGGTATGCAGATGGCAGCCGATCAATGATTCTCCCACCCCACTGCTAGCTGCCTCACCCTCCTCCACGCCCGCCCCTGACATTGGAGGCAAAGTCTGGTTTGGCTCAATGGATAGAGTGTTGCCCCGTGGACTGAAAGGTCCAGGGTTTGATTCCGATCAAGTCCTCATCCTTCTTGGCTCCTCTCAGGCATTTGGCACTGCTCACCACCCTCCTTAAAAAGATGTCCTCCCATGGCTTCCATGGCCCCTTTGTTCCTGGTCCCTCTCCGCCCTCTGGCTCCTTTCCCTCCCTCCTCAGGGAGGCAGCCCAGACAGTAGAAGTCAGAAGGCTGGCCTAGGAGTCAGAAGGCTACCTGAGTGGATGTGCTGGCGTGCCCGGCTCTGGGACCTTAGACAAGCGCCTCACCGAGTCTCAGCACGCGGAGACGCTGAGTTCTACCTTCCACGTAGGTCATGACGAGTAGGTACATGGGTGGATGCCCAACAACTGTTAGCTGTGTCCTATCGCCCTCTCCCCTCAGTCACTGGTTCCTATTCCTGCACGCGCCCCTAAATGTTGGTGTGGTCCAGGTCTTCATTCTCCTCCTCTTTCTAGACCCCATGCTCTTTTCCTGGGCAGAGTGAAGCAGTACAATTTGTAATTATCCAGAGTTTAACTGGATCAAATCTCCAGTCCTGGCCCTCTTTCTTGAGCTCTAAACCACATTCCAACTTTCTCTGCAACGTCTCTCCCCAGGTGTCTTATAGATTCTTTGAATGGAAGGTCAGATTGAACTCATTATCTCTACTGCCGCCGCCACCAAGCCTGCTGCTCACCTCCCTGCCTTAGAAACGATCCCTCTCATGCAGGCCCTGTGTCTCCGATACCTTCCTCACCTCCCATATCCAGTTTAGTCACCAAGTTCTCACAAGGTTCCTTGAGCGTAACGACTCCCTTTTGTCTCTGCCCTTGTTCAGGTCACCGTCCCTTGCCTGAACTATTGCAGTCTCTTCTTGCCTGTCTCCCTGACTTCAGTTCTTCTCCAAATTGAGGCCTTCCTTCATCTAGAAGCTAGATGTGTCCTGTGACACCCGTGGCTCTCTGTGGACCCCAGGATAAAGCCCAAGTCTGGCATTTAAGCAAAGTCCTTCCACCTGGCCCTGGCCCGTCTGTCTCAATTCCCAGTGCTCCTCTGCCACCTCTCCCCGCAACCCACGCAAATGCCCGGTACAGTCTAACCACAGAGTACACGCTGTTCCCTGCTCTTGACCTGCCTTCCTCTCTCTCGCAGCCTTACAAAATATTTGTCAACCTTTAAGGCCCAGATCAAATATCATGCCCTCTATAAAACATTGTCCAGTTCCCTGAGGCAGAATTAACTGCTCCCTGCTGTGGCTTCCCATGGAGGGACCTTCCCCAGGCCTCTGTGATAGTTCTGATCATGGCATGAGGCAGGTTAAGGAGCAGGCCATGCTTGATATAGCCAACCCACTTCTTCCTAGCAGATTTATTTGGGGATAGCTACGTACCTGCTCTAAGTCTCAGCTTGTTTTATTTTTAAATGGGGATAGTGAGGCCTACCTCAGAGACAGAGTGGTAGGGGGTTCAGAAATCATACATAGACACACATATACAGACAAGTCCTCTGGTGTGATGGTTGAGACCTAGCAGACTGCCTTGGTTCAAATCCTGGCCCTCCCACTTATGAACTGTGTGTTCTTGGGCATGCTACTTTGTGCCTTGGTCCCTCTGTGTAAAAAAGGGAAAATATTAGTGTCTACTTACAGGGCTGTTATGAAGATTAAATGAGATGTTACAGGTTTAGTGCTAACAGCAGTGCCTGATTCATATAAAGTCTTATAAAACAATTGGCTGTTTTTGTTATGAGAGTATCTGACCTATAGTAAGTGCTCAACTACCCTAGCTATTATGATTGTTCTGTGATTAATCAATTGTTCTGTGATTAATCAATTGAGAGACCATGAACTCTGGCGGTCAGGCTATATCTTATTCATCTTTGAGTCTCCAGGGCCTAGCGCAGTACCTGACCCTCAGTAGACAGGGAGAGCTGAACTTACGTGGTAATAGGTGAGATGCTGAGAAAAAGAGGAGGAAGCAGTGGCACCCTACCTGGTGCCACTCGGTTAAGGCGGATGTTAAAGTGCTGTATCTATCTTTTTGTTTGTTTGTTTTTTGTTAATCCTCACCAGAGGATATTTTCTCCTTTGCTTTCCAGAGAGTAGAAAGGAGGGAGGGAGGTAAGCAGAGAGGAGAGAGAGAAACATTGATATGGGAGAGACACATTGACTGGTTGCCTCCCACATGCGCCCTGACTGGGGGCAGGGAGCAAACCTGCAGGCCAGTTACGTGCCCTTGACCGGGAATCAAACTTGTAGACCCTTCACTACGCGGGCTGACACTCCAACCACTGAACACACCAGCCGGGGCTAAAGTGCTATATCTTTGTGGTTTTTTGGTTTTTTTTAAAGCGATATATCTTTGAAACATGAAAGTAAGCTCCAAGATGGAAGGGATTTATGTTGCTTTGTTTGTTGATCTCCGCACCTTGAACAGTGCCTGGCACATAGTTGGAAAATGACAAATATTTGTTAAATGAAGAGCAACTGCAGCACCAAGGAGGGAGTGGCCACTGAGAAGCAATGACAGCTGGACAAGGAAACATGGGAGAGGGGTGCTAAGGGGAATGAGTGCTGGAGCCAGTCTGCAGGGTTCTGTGGGGAGGGGGCGGGGGAGTGAGTGGATGCAGACTGGAGCCTGCTAACCCCATCCCAAATGGCTAGGGGCAGTGGGCAGTAGCTGGGAGGGGCAGGACACCATATCCCCAAGGTAGGGGTGCCGTATCAGCTTGCCATCAGAACAGAATGAGCCATGCCAGGGCGGGCGAGGTTCGATGTGGGAGACTGGGCACTGAGCACGTGGGACAAGCAGGGTGAGCTCTCCACAGCCGTGGCCGACCTTCCCTTGCAGATGACTGGCTGCCCCTCCCAGTCAGCCACGGCTGACCTTCCCTTGCAGATGACTGGCTGCCCTTCCCAGTCAGCGAGAAAAAGATCACCAGGGGTTGGATGCCCCCAGGCCAACAGCCCTGCATTCTCTTGACCTTCCAAGGGTGGAAGGGGAGGCTGAAGGGGGAGCGTGAGGCCCGTACCTTGATGCCTGCACTCCGACACTTGCCCACAGCGTCAGGCACAGCCGCCCGGGGAGGGTCGATCATGGACATGAGCCCCACGAAGCAGAGCTTCTCCGTGGGGAAGTTCAGCTCCTCCGTGTCGAATTTGAAACCGCGAGGAAACTTTCCAGAGGGCAGATTCAGCTGACAGAACCCTGAAGGAGGAGGGGGGAGGCAGAAGGGTGGATTGAGAGCAGCAAGGTGGCTGCCTGAACACCCCTAACGTTCCTCATCCTAGGGACCCCACTGAGGCTTGGGAATCCCTCTCTCAGCCCCGCTCCCTGCTTCTGGACCCTCACCCAGCACTCGCTCCCCAAGTCCTCCCAGCTCCATGTAGGCGTTCTGAAAGGCGTCTTGCATCTCCTTGTCCAGCGGGATCTCCTTGCCCTGCACCAGGATGGAGGAGCACCGGTCCAGGATGCGCTCGGGGGCCCCCTTCATCACCAGCACGTGGCTCTGGGGGCTGTCTTCTCGCTCGTGGATGGACAGCTGGAGAGAGGATGGGCAGTGACAGAGGGGGCCGTAACTGTCTTATTAGCCCCAATGCCCAGCACGGGGCCTAGTCAGAGCAGAGGCTGGTAAGAAACACCCCCCTTAATAAAATTACCTCTGACTCATCAACCCTTGTCGCATAGGGACAGTTTCTGTGTGTGGAGAGATGTTTGAAACAAAAGACCCAACCCTGTAACCTGAGAGTCACCTTCCTAGGACATTCATTGACTCAGCAAATGTTTATTCAGATCAGTTAAGACAGGCCTTGTGCATGGGCTAGATGGCTTTGTTGTCAGCATTCCCCACCACTCCGCTGGCCTCGGCGGGACTTTACCTCTATGGCCTACACAGGACGTAGCGGAGACTGTTATTGGCATTTCCCAAATGCTTACAGGTGGGGGGATACGCTAAGGAAATTTCAGAAGTATGTTTCAACTGAGTGTGATGAAAGGGTTGAGAGACCGGGGCCAGAGGATGGGGAGCTCTTGGAGGAAGAGCCAAGAGGGTGGGAGGAATGAAGGAATGAAGGTTGGGAGCTAAGGGGTAATGGCAACCAGACATGTAGTCACCCAAGTTGCCCTGGGGAATAAGTCAGGGGTGAGAGGACATGATGTCCAGATGCCTCCACTTCTCATGTTGATGACTCCCCCTTGGCTTTGTGCACCCCCTCATTTCTGTTCCTCCCACTCCCCTGTCCCAGTTCCCTGACCAGACCTGATACTTGTTGGTGGAGTTGAAAGGAATCTCCGCCACCTTGGGGTTCCTGTCCCTCATCTTCCTCACAGAGCCGCAGGACAGCTCAATGCACTTGAGCAGAGCTGACTCGGAGGCGTCGCCCGCTGTGTCGCGCTGTCAGGAGAATTCAGTGTCACAGTGGGGCCGGAGAAGGATGGAGGACCAAGAGGAGAGGCCATGAAACCTTGGAGGCCACCGCAGGGTATGAGGGGAAGCTGGGCATCAGCAAGGGGCACAGGCCATGGAGGCGGCCCTGACCCCCTACCTTAGACACAGAGATGTTCTCCTGCCCACCCTTGAAGACGGCTCGGTTGCAGAGGCCAGCAATCCGAGACAGGGCCGTCCACGTTGCAGATCGCTTGTCAAATGTGGCCCCTAGGGGAAAATGAGGGAGAACCGTTTAGAGCTTGGTTCCCCTTTAGAGCTCCTCTCTCTCTCCACCCACTCTACCACCCAGTGTCCTGGACACCCACCAGACCCCTTCACCCCTCTGGGCTGCCCAATCACCAGACTGGTCTTCGGTGGTGTCAGCCTCATGGATCTGGTTGTCAAACCACATATGGGCGACGGTCATACGGTTCTGGGTGAGGGTGCCCGTCTTGTCAGAGCAGATGGTGGAGGTGGAGCCCAGCGTCTCCACCGCCTCCAGGTTCTTCACCAGGCAGTTCTTCCTCGCCATGCGCTTGGCTGTCAGGGTCAGACACACCTGGCAGAAAGAGAGGAGCATACAAAAGGGCCACGCCTGAGCCAGAGACGTCTATGACCTTCCCCCAGAGCATGGCTCTATCCCTCCTCCAGTGATCCTACTCCACAAACGCGAGTGGGATCTAGGTGTGAGCAGTTGAACCGAGATCATGGGTGTATATTTAGGTGAAATGTCCAGTACGGAGTTGAAGACATTCATCTAGAGCTCCAGAGAGGCCAGAGTAGAGCTGGGCGAAGGGATGTGAGAGTCACCCACACAGAATGGGCAGTGAAAACTGGGCTCACTTAAGTGTGTTAAGGAAAAGAGCAGAGAGCTGAGGCCTGAGACTCAGTTTTGGGGAGAAGGAGGGGACCCTGCTGGGGACAGAGGAGAGGAGAACCAGGATAGTGACATGTCACAGTCGTCAGTGAAGGAGAGGGTTCCCAGCAGGTGGACAAAGGGTTCCTTTCGGCAGCAGAGTTGAGCATTGGAGCTGAGAAAAGGTCTCTGGGTTTGCTCGGTGGTCACTGGTGACCTTTGGGAGAGCATTTGCAGAAGAGAGTTGGCCAGGACGAGCTCTGGGTGACAGGAGCAGATGAATAGCACGTGGGTGGTGAGAAGAGGCGACTGTGACGAGCTGTGGGAGGGAGGCTGCCTGCCAAAGTACAGCCCAACCGGAGATTGCTCAGACTCAACCTCTGAGCCGTGGACTAAATGACCTTTTTCAGACTCACACTCTAAGCCATGTATTAAATGAGAATCTGATATGTGATTTTAAGGGCTTGCAGTGAAAACATTGCTGAGGAGCAAGGAGCCTCTAGCACTGCTGAGGAAAGGGTAACAAGACCCACCCTGGTGGCACCTCCGCCTGACCACTCACCGTGACGGTGGCCAGCAGCCCCTCGGGCACATTGGCCACGATGATGCCGATGAGGAAGATGACTGCCTCTAGCCAGCTGTAGCCCAGGATGAGGGACAGCACGAAGAAGGAGATGCCCAGAAACACAGCCACCCCCGTGATCAGCTGGATGAAGTGTTCAATCTCCATGGCTATCGGGGTCCGCCCCACCTCCAGGCCTGAGGCCAGAGTGGCTATGCGGCCCATCACCGTCCGGTCACCTGTGGCGATCACGATGCCCCTGGCAGTGCCTGCAACACAGGAAGAGACTCTAGCTCGGTGCCTTAGGTCCCAGGATCTGTGTCCTGTCCCACTTCCTGAGGAAGGAAATCCACCAGAGACTCTGCTCCCAAAGTGTCAGTAGATTGTTCCTCCCGGGCTCTCTCATCTTGCCCACATCGCCAACCCCCAGCTCAGTGCAACAGCAAGCTATTTTCTCTTACACTTGGGCCTGTGGGAAGAGCTTGCAAATAAACTCAAAGTTCAAACTGAGGAGATTCAATAAGTGAAACAAAAATATTGCCTGCAGTACTTCAGTAAAATCAATCTTCTACATATTACCCACAAACTATGTGTTTACATTATAAACACAAAGTAAGGCACTTATTATGGACTAGAAGCCCGATGCATGAACTTCGTGCAAGGGGCTCGGCCCTCCCAGCCCAGGCTTTGACTTTGTCCGGAAGGATGTCCGGTCTAATTAGCATATTACACTTTTATTATTATAGGTTTTCCATGTAGTCTTAAGATTTTCTTTGTCAACATTAGGCATGAATCCCATAAAAGAAGCTAGGCAAATTACTGACCCTCAAGTAGATGTTAAAGGGGCCTACAGGAGAGGAGGGCTGGGGCAGTGGGAAGAGCATGCATGTTGGAGTCAGCCAAACCTGAGCTTGAATCCTTATTCGGGTTCCTATCTAGGGGTTATTTTAACAATTAAATCAGATTGTGCTGTAATACCTAAACCAGTGCATAGCACATAGTAGGCACTCATCAAATGTTAGTTCCATTCATTTCCTATCCTTTCTTCAAGGCCAATTTTAGAGTAAGCCATGGGAATATTTAACATTTGTGAAAATGTAGAGCAAACTTCAGAATCTCAGTACATTAAAAAGTTAGGGAACTTAATGTGTGGTGATTTTCATTATAATTCCAACTTGCTGAAAGAGGGGAGAAGCCCAGAATCACATATCCACTGAAGAGAAACGACAGATATAAAGAGAAAGGTGTGGAGGTGGGAAGGTCTTTGGCTCGCTTTCTGAGGCCCCTGGCATAGTCGGGCCTCTTTCTCCCACCAGCTCTTGCCCTCTCCGCCCTCAGCCCTGACTCGGTTCACTGGCCTTTGGTCATCTCTAGAACCCAGAACAGGGAGGGGGCCACCTGGGCAGCCTCAGCATGACAATTTCTCTTGGCGAAGCACAGTCCTAGCTACAGCCCGAAGGAGGGCCAAGTATCCACTGGGCTGGGAAGCTTTCCTGCCCCTCCCCCAGCCCGGGGCTCTGGGCAAAGCAAGGGCCAGAGATGGAGGCAGCAAGTCCCAAACCCAGGAAAACAGAAGCCTTCAGTCAAGCCAAAGACACCAAAGAGTCAAGGCTGGCTTGGGACGGGTGTGCATGTGAGTGGGTGATGTGTGTCATATGTGTGCATGTGTGTATGATGTGTGAGTGTCAGAGTGTGTAAATGTGGGTGTGTGTGGTAGGGTTGGGGGAACTTGGCCAAGACCTAAAGGCTTTGGAATCCACTCAGTGTTACGGTGGACAGGACAGAGATCTTTCTGTGGGAGGTAAGTTTCCATGGAGTTGTGCCATCCCAGCCAATACCCTGCTCTCTGGAAGGGATTATTTCTGTAATATTCAGGGATCCCCATACCCAAGTCCTCAGTTCCCTCCTCTAGAGCAGGGTTTTTGATGAGTAAGTACAGCCACAGCCCTCAGTCCTGCTGGGGGTTCAGGATTCAGACGCCTCCCTCCGTGGGTGCTGGGACGAAGGGCCCCCACCAGGCTGGCCTCTCACCTTCCACACAGTTGGTAGAGAAGAAACAGATATTGCGGGTCTCCAGGGGGTTCTCATGGGTAAACTCAGGGGAACGGGTCTGGGGCTCTGACTCCCCAGTTAGGGATGAGTTGTCCACCTGGGGAGGAAGCAGGGAGGGTGTAGCCATCAGCCTGGCAGGCGCACTTGTGCACACACAGCTGTCTTCCAACTCCAACTGCGCTCAATCTCCATGACACGAGGGACAAAATTACACTCGTCCTCATCACATATTTATAGCATTGCTCAGCTATTGTCCCTGCGCTGGTTTGGAATCCTAGCTCTTGCAAGATTTTAATGTGACCTTGGGCTGGTTACTTAACCCTCCACTCATCTGTAAAATGGGGGTTGTCATCAGAATCTGTGCACTGCACAACTCCAGGGGGTGCCATCAACACTGTAGTCTATGAAAATGGCACGGCCTAGTGTGGCCACGCGCAACAGCCCTGCATGATCAGACCGTCCTCACAGAGTTGAAGTACATGGCATCTGCGAATGTACATCAAACATCGGACAATAACTGGGACTCAATACAAGGTGGCTGTAAAGTGGGTTTCAAAGACACACCTAGGGCACAGAGCAGTCATCACACAGGTACAAGGAGACAGCGCCTCAGCGCTATCAGGTGCAGCTGGGGGGCACGGGGTAGGTGTTGGCATTTGGATCTGGCCCTTCCAATCTTCAAACCTCTAACTGGGCCCCTCTCAGCTCTATCCAGCCTTCTTCCTAGACCCCGCCAGTTGCTCTGGCTTGGCCTCCTCACCTTACAGCCGTGAGAAGAGATGATCCGGAGGTCAGCAGGCACGCGGTCTCCACCCTTCACCTCCACCAGGTCTCCCACCACCACTTCCTCCGCGTTGATCTGCATCTTCTCGCCCTCCCGCACGACGAGGGCTTGCTGCAAGGAGGCCATGGGCATCTCGTGAAGTCTCTACCCCTACTTTTCTCTCCTGCTGCTTTTCCACCTCCCCTTCAGCCCCCCCGAGGAGGAGGAGAAGCCCTTAGCAACAAAACTAGGTCCTGGGGTAGAGACCTAGGGGGACTTTTTGTCCAAGCCTCCATCTCAGAGCGCCAAGTTGAGAAGGGAGGAGCTGGACCCGCCCAGAAACCGTATGCCCCAGCCCAGAGCCCCGCCTGACCATCTACCTGCGGAACCATGTTCTTGAAGGAGTCCATGATCTTGGAGCTCTTGGCCTCTTGGTAGTAGGAGAAGCAGCCCGTGACGATGACCACAGCTGCCAGCACCACGCCCAGATAGAGCTGGCAAGGAGACAGGGTTTGAGAGACCTGCCCGTCTCTCAACCCTCAAGCGGCACCTGCCACGTGGGACAAGCTACCTTGTCTGTGACTGGAAGTGAAAATGGTCGAGGAAAGTCCGTCTCTCTTACTTCCCCCTCAGTCTTCCAGTCCCCAACCTCCTAAGGCTAGAAGGCGTGGTGAGAGTCTTAGGGAGTTCCCAGGACTACAGTGGGGCCTTGACTTACGATTGTCCCGACTAACGAATTTTTTGAGATATGAGCTGTCTCTCGGCCGATTTTTTGATTTGAGTTGTGAGCTAAAATTCGGGTTACGAGCCAGCTTCAGATACCCCACCGCTAGTTGGCGCAGCGAATGTCACAGTGAACGCCACAACATCAGCCCGGCATCACGTTCACTTTTTGATTTGACATACGAGTAATTTGAGTTACGAGCGCTGTGACGGAACGAATTAAACTCGTAAGTCAAGGCCCCACTGTAGGTCTTCTCTAGGGTGTGAAGACTGAGGGATGGGCAGGCAAGCCCACTTAAGTGTAAAGGAACAGAGAGGGGCTTTCTCATCCTTGAGAGATTGTGTGCCTGTGTGTGTTGGGGTGCGTATCAGTATGTATAGAAGCCGCACCCATTTTCAGCCTAAAGGGCCCTGTGACGTGAGGGTCTTGCTCCCTGCCCCCCAGCTAGACTGGAGATTCGGGGTTGGAGGACAGAGTCATGGGCTGGTCCAGGGGCCAAGCATTCCAGCTCACATTGTCGTTGGACGGTTCATCTTCCATGGCAGCCTGGATGCCGTAGGCCAGGAAGCAGAGGATGGCCCCGATCCACAGAAGGATGGAGAAGCCCCCGAAAAGCTGGCGACAGAACTTGACCCACTCGGGGGTTGTTGGGGGTGGGGTGAGGGCGTTGGGTCCGTCCCGAGCCAGAATGTCCTGGGCCCGCTGGTTGGTGAGGCCCTAAGGGAGGCAAGTAGGAGTGTGGGAGTTTGCATCCGCCACCAGTCTGGCCCCTCACCACGCGCCCCCCCCCACCATGTAATAGGCAGCAGCTCGTTGGCCGGGAGTAAGGCCTGGTGGAGGGGAAATCCCACCTGGTTGGAAGGGCTGAGGGGCCACAGGAGAGGCCACGTGAAGGAGGGGGGGTTTGCAATGGGTGTTAGAGGCCTTGACGGCTGAGGAGGATTTTGATGTGGCCCCGTCTCTGGTCATCACTGGACTGATTGACATTTGGGGCCACAATCATCTCCTCTGGAGGCAGCCTGGCCGAGGCTCACTGGAAAGTCATCTCAATTGGCTCCTCCCCTCCCCACCCCCGTCTCTCTTCCCTCACATTCCCCACATCACCAAGGAACATTTGTGTTTCTTGCACAAGGATTTAAGAAGAGTCCTACATTATTGACCATCAGCGTCGCTCGGCCTCAGCAATCGCCCATCGCTTCCCCCAGAAAGCCTGGCCCGGCCCTGCTCCCGGGCCCAGGCTGCCTCAGACGCCCCTCTCTGCATCCATTACATCCTAGACATGATTCCTGCACCGCCACATGGCACTGGAGGTCTAGGCACTCCTCTTTGCTACCAGACTTTGAGATCCTTGAAGGCAGAGGACACTTTTTCTATCTGTCCACTCATTGATTTAATAAACGTGTTTTGAATGCCAGGCTCTATTATCAGCTCTGCCCAGAGATGGGCAAGACCCACAGAGTCCTTGCTTTGCGGAGCTTATGATCTAGGGAGGTGACACACAATCAATGATATTAGTGCCAGACAGTGAAAGTGTTACTCAGGGAAATAAGGTTAAAGCAATGGGGGCATAGAGTTTTCAAAAGGGCAATCCCGGAGGGCCTACAGGAGGAGGTCACACGACCATATTTTTTATTAATAATGTTTTTCTTTTTCAAAGTGATGGGCTTGGCAATCTGACATTGCTGCTTGCTATGGACGTGACCTTGGGAAGCTGCGCTCCTCCTCTGAGTCTCCTTGCTCTGAGAAAGAGGTCACAGCACCTTTCCCTCAAGGTTGCAAGGATTAGAAAAATGTATGTAAAACGTACATACATAGCGGGGCCCCAGCATGCCACTGTCAGAATAGTCATAGGTCACTCCCCAATTTCATGTATGTCAGTGCCATGAGACGGTGCAACACGGAGGCTGCTTGAGGGAGAGAGAGCTCTGCCTGGAGGCCCTTGGGGCCTGGGTCCCCAGGATCCTGGCTTTCGGGTGGGGACACAGGAAAGGGGCTCAAGACTAGGAAGCAGGGCATCTGGGTTCTTGTTCTGATTCTGCACCAATTAGTCCCCGGGCCTCGGTTTCCCCATCTGTAAAAAGGGTTGGATTACAGGTGGACGGCCCCTTGCTCCTGATGCCGCTGCGTGGTTCTCTCACCTCTTTGGTGCCCTCCAGGCCCCTCCACTCACCTTGGACAGGTCCACTTGGTATTTGCGGCCCAGCTCATCCAAGGATAGCTTGTGGTCGTCCTGGGGAATGGAGACTGAATTACCGTGAGGAGGGAGGCTGTGTGTGTGTGTGTGTGTGTGTTTAGAATGTATGTGAGGTCAATGAGAGGCCAGAGGTGAGGCAAGGAGCATGG